GTGAGATAAAAGACTACATATTGGATACAATGTACACAACTCAGGGAATGGGTGCACAAAAATCTCATAATTCACCGCTATATAATTTATCTATGTAACTGCAAACCATTTGTGCTCCAAGAGCTATCAAAATTTTTTAAAATTTAGAAAACTGATAGACTTTCAAAAAAAGAAATACAATAATATGTTATAAGTCATAGTAAGGGCCAAGTTCCATAGTTCAAAAGTAGAAGCTTTACAGCAATTCAAAGAAACAGAAAATAACAAATAGATAAATCTGAAAAAAAAATAGTTAAGACATGTAACTGAAACCTAAACTTGAATAATGGGCAATATTTGACTAATATAGAAAAATAAACTTGAGGAAAGTTATTTCAGACAAAGAAGTAGCGTAGGGACAAAAGTCTGAAGGTAAAAGAAATAAGTAGATGATGGAAGGTAGAGCCTGGAAGGTCATTTTCTTGTGATAAAAGTTGAAGCAAAAGATTACAGTACAGGTAAGCTTAGCTTTGAAAACATCTGAAACAGTAGCATTATATTCACAAGAACTGATCAATTCATGTTGACATTCGGTAATCATCAAGGTTATTCATGCAGACTCATAAGATTATGCTCAACTATTATTATGACTTTGTATTTACATCACATCACATTTTGTAAGAATCATAAAGCACATTTACAACATTAATAAGGGTACCGCAGGAACTTAAAAGAGTTGGTTTAATCCTAGCAATCTTCCTAATGTGAGAACAAGGACTTGTTTAGGATTTAGCAAAATTATATTTAAGCTTAAAATTATGTTAAAATTGTGCAAATTGTCTCAAAAAGCTTAGCACAAAACAATAAGTATAAATACTCCTGCATTGCAATATGAACTGCTAGACTGCCTATGCTAGACTTAGAATTTAGGTGGTTAAAAATAGGTTATGCAACCTTCAAGTCACCTCAAGGCAATAAGAATCTTGAGGTAAAGAAAGCAGTAGAAAGCATTCTTTGGAGAAAATTATCAGTGTATAAGCTTTCCTCACACCATCTGAAACTTGATGAGAGGGGTTCCAAGGAGACACGTAGGTAGCCTAACAAGAATCCTTTTAAGTTGGGGGGCATAATAGAATGGTGTGTAACTCATTCCTGAAAATAACTCCACAAAAAAGCTCTCAAGAGCCTCTCACTAGGATGGGAAACTAATAGAAACATCTCTCCTCCCACCTAGGACTCCAATTGCATGCGTGGTGGACCAGTTGATATTGTCTCATGGGTCACTGACAGTCTATTCATTTTTTTCTTAATTTCTTCTTTTTTCATTTCGAATAGTTCTATTGTTACATATTCAAGTCTGTTCTTTTTATTTTGTGGAATATTTTATATGCTGTGAATCCCAATCAATTTTTAAAAATAAACTGTATTTTTTATCTCTATGAATTTTAGTTGGCAAATTTTATTATATCTTTTCATTATCATCTCATATGTACAGGTTTTACTTTCAATCTGTAAGTATATTTATAATACCTATTTTAAAAGGTCTCATCTTGATGTTATTGTCCTGTCATTTCTAGACCAGCAGCATGTGACTCCATTAACCATTTCCCTCCTCCAATATTTCATTTGGGCTACAAAACACTACATTTGCTTCTGTTTCATTCTAGCTACTCAGACTCCACTAGAGAGTTCACATAGCAGCATGACTTGAAAATTAATAAAAATATAAAGACTCCAAAGTTGTATCCCTACCCTAGACATCTCTCCTGAAATCTCGATTTATATATTCACTGCCTAAGCCACATCTCCATTTGAATCTAGATATGGTTTGGCTCAAATTGTAATCCCCACGTGTCAAGGGAGGAACCTAGTGGGAGGTGATTGGATCATAGGGGTGATTTCCTTCATGCTGTTCTCATGATAGTGAGTGAGTATTCTCATGATATCTGATGGTTTTATATGAGTTTGAAAGTTCCCCCTTCACTTTCTCTTCTGTCTTCTGCTGCAATGTGAAGAAGGCCCTGGCTTCCCCTTCACCTTCCACCATGATTGTAAGTTTCCTGATGCCTTCCCAGTCAAGCGGAACAGTGAGTCAATTAATCCTCTTTTCTTTATAAATTACCTAATCTTGGCAATTCTTTATAGCAGTGTGAAAATGGGCTAATACAGATTTCTAACAGTCATCTCAAACTAAACTTATCCAAAACTGAATGTCTGATTTTTCCCCAAACAATTCTACCTACAGTTTTCACCATCTCACTTTATAGCCTGGGACATTCTTGTCAACAGATATCCACATGGATCCCTGCCTCGCTTTCTTCAAGTCTTTGTTCAAATGTCACTTTCTTGCTGGATCTATTCTAATCATCTAACTGAAAATTTTGTACCTCAAACCTCCACATTCAGTATTCTAAACTCCTCTATGCTGCTCTGTTTTTCCTAAAGCATTTACTACGTCCTAGTATTTTTAATCTAGCATTTTGTTTATTCATTGTGTTTATTATATGGACTTACACCCCAGGATAAAATATAAGCTTCAGGAGGTAAGAAATTTCTATTTTGTAAGCTGATGTGTCTTAAATCTGACACATAACTGATATTTTCATGAATGATATACAGTAATTGTTGCTAGATTAAGTCAGGTACATGCCTAATCATTAAGGCATCAATTCTATAATTAACATAAACTATTATTTCATTCTACTGTTGAATTTTTTGGATACTTCTTGTAATTAAAGGTTTTGTCTCAAAGTTGATTTAAGTTCTTCAAGGGTATAATTATGTTTTAGAATTTCAGTCCTTCCACAATTATTACTGCATTGTTTTGTACACAGTAAGAGGTACAGGCTAAAAACAATTTAATTTTTCGCTTTATTTCATTCTAGAGATCTGGTTTCTATCACTGGCTATTTTAATAATGCAGCTAGTGTGTTAAAAACAAAAACAATGATAAAAAAAAAGAAACTATTCTTCTCAGTTCATTCCAAATCATCTTAGTTTTGTCTTCACTAGAATCTTTTTTTTCTATTTATTCCCATTTTTCTTCTATTCTCAATTCCCATTCACCTCTCCACCATTATAAGAAACCATTTTTAATATGACCCTTTTATAATTTTTTGTGCTGCTTTCTCAATATGTTATACTGTAGGGGGCATATTTTTATCTTACATAAATTGTGCTATATTCATATGCCTCATTCTATTTTGTATTTTTTTCACTTCACTCTATTTTAAAAATCTATCTATACTGCCACATACACAGCTAGTCCTCATAATTGTTCACTGTATTTGTCACTTAACCTATTTATTATTCAGTTAAAAAGGCAGATAATAACTCTTCTGCTTATTTCATCATGTGATTATGACGTTACAATAAGAAAATATACATGAAAAATTTGAAAAGTATTCAAAAGTTCTATGCAGATATAAAGTAGTAATATTGTGCAGAACCCTGTAATAGCAAAAATTACAACAGAAGTTTAGTAGATGGGATGTGTATTAGTCTGTTCTCACACTGCTATAAGGAACTTCCTGAGACTGGGTAATTTATAAAGAAAAGAGGTTTAGTTGACTCAAACTTCTGCATGGCTAGGGAAGCCTCAGAAAACGTATAATCATGGGAGAAGGGGAAACAGGCACATCTTACATGGTTGAAGGCAAGAGGGCTCAAGTGTGAAGGAGGAACTGTCAAACACTTATAAAACCATCAGATCTTGTGAGAACTTACTATCATGAGAATAGCATGGAGGAAACTATCCCCATGATCCAATCACCTCCCACCAGGTCCCTCCCTTGACATGTGGGGATTACAATTCGAGATGAGATTTAGGTGGAGACATAGAGCAAAACCATATCAGGATGTAAAGTAGAATAAATGTGGGATCACCGTGCTCAAGAATGGTCTTGAGCTTTGCTGGTGCAGAAAGCCACGGAAAGCTCATTTTATCTTGGGAGATTAGCAAAACTGATCTATAAACCAGAATGTAAATGTATTCACTTAAGTTGTTTTCCTGGTAACCAGAATATTCCTGGTTGTCATCAATTTGCAATATAAGTGAATTAATTACAACAATTCAACTTTTCAGTTTAACTCAGAACAAAGAGATTAAGGCAATTAGCCGGGTTTGGTAGTTGAAGGGTAGGTGGCACACAAGACTTATTTTGTCCAAGATAAAATAATATGTATATGATTCTTTTTGTTATCTCTTGTCCAAATGATTAGCTCCTTTCTAAGTTGGACACTACCAATTGATAAATTGTATTTTCATACCTTTTTAAAATGTATGTCCTGAAAAATTACTACTCCTTAACACCACATTTTTCCACATTATTTGTTGTTAATATCTCCAAATAGTGAGATAAACTGCATAAAGAGTATACTAAATATATATTTATGATTAATAAAATAATAATCTTACAACATGCAGAGTCAGAAATAAACATTACGCATTCCACACACAGAAGACCTATGCCTCTTTACTTATCACAGCCCCCTCCTTAACTCCTAGAAAACTACTATACTGACATGAGACAATTATTTATTTGACTTTTAAACATTTTTAACAAATCTGTGCTTACTACTATACAATATGTTTTTGTGTTTGAACCTTTTTTTTTTTTTTTTGAGATTAAGTTTTGCTCTTGTCACTCGGGCTGGAGTGCAATGGCACAATCTCGGCTCACTGCAACCTTCGCCCCCCAGGCTCAAGTGATTTTCCTGCTTTAGCCTCTTGAGTAGCTGGGATTACAGGTGCATGCCACCATGCCCAACTAATTTTTGTATTTTTAGTAGAGACAGGGTTTCACTGTATTGGCCAGGCTGGCTTTGAACTCCTGGCCTCAGATGATCCACCTGCCTTGGCCTCCCAAAGTGCTGGGATTGTAGGCATGAGCCACTGCGCCCGGCCTGAACTTCTTATAAATAAAATCATACTGTACATGTTTTTTGAATACTGATTTATTTCTTGCTGAGGTTTTTGAAATTTTCAGTGTTGATACATGTAACTGTAATTTATTTATTTTCATCTTTTTACAGTATTCACATGTATGAATGGATGATAATTTATCATGTATTCTACTGTGGAGAAAAATTTTGTCCTTCCCAATTTTTAATTATTTTGAGAAATGCTACTCTGCAAATTATTTGTGAGTCTCCTGATACTGATGTGCAAGAATTTCTAGGCTATATTCTCAAGCCTTGGATTCTGGGTCATAGAATAAGTGCATCGTTAATTCTACTAGATACTCTCAGACAATTTTTCAAAGTCTGTACAAATTTACATTGCCACTAGCAATGTGAGAGAATCCTCTTTGATATACAACCTCACTGGCTGTGCCTGTTACTATTCATGCATCTGTGTGATTAGGCTACCATTTTCTCTCATAGAATCATGTTTTCAATTCTGACTGTCTTAGACTACAGTTTCTCTACTGATTCTCTCTTACAAACTGAAAACTACACTCTCTCCTAAGGTAGCCCTCTCAGAGAGCAATTTCCATCTATTATTTGCAGAATGGTACCAGTGTCTCTAGTAAGGGTTACAAACCCTGTTACAGCAGAGTTTGTTGATCTAAGCACTACTGACTCTTTGGACAGGATAATTTGTTATTGTTTGAGTGTGTACTGTGCATTTGGGAATGTTTTCAGCATCTCTGGACTTTGCCCAGCAGATGCTAGTAGCACTCTCTCTTTGAGTGGTGAAAAACAAAAATTAATCCAGGCATTGCTAAATGCTCCCTCAGAGGCAAAATGCACACCAATTGACAACCGTTGTATTGCAGTATCATTCCATAACCTCACTGGATTATTTAGGCTAGAATAGTTGTAACAAAATTCGTGATTTGAGAGAAGACCCAGCCTCTAGACACAAAGACACAAAATTCTTCCAGTAAGCAAACTTGACGTTCTGAAAAGAGTTGTGCCCTTAAAAATTACATGTTCAGGGAGAATGAAGAGACGTGATTTCAGGAAAAGAATTTGTTTTTCTCCATGCATTTGTTGGTTTGATTGTTTTGATAAAGTACAAGACATATTTCATCTGTCATCAATTTTGCTGGGGCACGGAAGCAGTCAGGTAGAGATATAAGACCATCAAATTCCCCTACAAAGCAGTTACAAATGTGTGCTTGAGACAGATTTGTGCTTTGGGAAACACGAAACAAACACATCTTCTTCTACTCCTCCTGCTAACTACTACTAAAATGACTGGACATTATATTTAAAGCAAACACAAGAAGACTCTGAAAGATGTAGAGACGAAGATAGACAGGTCAAGAATGTCAGGATCCAAGAGATAACAGAGTTGTGAGTTCTGTAGGTTTTCTTTCAGCTTCATATATCCCAGATGTAAAGCTGATGAAGAGCAATCTGGAAACACAAGCAGGTGCAAAGAAAAAACACACCAGAAAAATCTCTGTTTTCTCTAACCACAGGACCAGGACAAGGTCAGCCTAGCAAGACAGAAAACTTTTGGACAATAATAAAAACTGTGCCTCCGCCCTATGCTGGCAAAGACCGAATAAAAAGCTGAGATGTTCGTCCTTAAGAAACTACGAAGAGAGGCCTCAGCACCTTTGCCAGATTGCCAGAGAAAGCCAAGCAGGGAGCCAAGACTTTCTACCCTTGTGGCTGGGGATAAGGTCCTCTCCATGGTGTCACTACAGACCACGTGGTAAGCCTAAACTGTTTCCACTGGGGGCACTGAGGCTCCTCCTTGCTAGGGCAGCATCAGAGGATGCCTCATGGAGAGTCGGAGCTATAACCATTGTCCCGTGGTAACTAGACTACCCATACCATGTGTCAGCAGAGACCGCATGGGAAGGTGGAATACCCACTCCTATCCATCCCCCCATTCAATAGTAATGAGGAGTACTCCCAACTGTGGGGAAAATCCAAAGGGAATCAATGTGACAAAGAACTTGTTCTTTGAAAAGATCAATAAAACGGATAACCCTCGAGCAAGTCTGACAAAAAAAAATAAAAGAAGACACAAATGATCAATACTTGGAATGAGAAAAGGAGCATCACTACAGATCATGGAGACATCAGAAGGATAAGAAGGAGATATTACAAACAAGTAGACACACATAAATTTCACATCTTAGACAAGATTCCTCAAAAATGTTAGCACAATTCACCCAATAATTTAAAAAATTGATATGGAAAGGCAAAGAAACTGGAATAGCTAAAATGATTTTTCAAGGAATTAGGAGTTTGCCATGCTTAATAAATGTGTTTCAGTATTCACTGTGTCTCTAGCATTATTCTAGGTACTAAATATATAACCTTTAATAAGGTATGGAAAAATGTTTGATGTTTACACTCTACTGAAGGAGATAATCAGTGAAACGTGAACATGGAAAATACAGGTGGCAGTAAGTTCTATGACTTGAAGAAGGAAAGGACAAAGAAAACAAGTTAGTTCTACGAAGATGAATAAAGCATATGAGGGTGATAGAGAAGGAAGTTTTCCCATAACATGATCAGGAAAGGCCTCACTGAGAAAGACTGAGCAAAGACTGAAAGGTCACAAAGTAATCAGCTGCCTAGATGTCTGGGGAAGATATGTTTTGGAGAAGGGAAGCTCCCCAGCAGTGATGTGAGGCTGGAGGGTGCTGGACATGGAATCACGCAGGGAAGCCAGTGTTGGTGTAGTGGAGTGGATGAGAAAGAGAGGATAAGATGTCAGGGTGTGCTCAGAGATCTCTCCATATGTTGTAGGTGACTGAGAACTTTGGATTTTATTTGGATGGAGATGAGAACTTTGGATTTTTCTCTGATGGAGATGGGAAGCCATTTGAGACTTTCATGGTGAGGATCCGTGTGACCTAATTGTGGTGTAAAAAAAGAGCCTTATATGGTGATTGAAATGTAAGACAATATGGGAAAAATGTAGAAAAATTCAAAATTATCTTCTTATGGGATAAACCCAATAATAAAGAGATTACAAATCTTAAACTTTTTCACTATATTCTTTCTGACTTCAGATCCTAAGACTGATACTATTTTTTCTCTTTGTTAATAAGGTAAGTACTACAAACTCATGATTAACATGGTATTAATTAACCCAAACCCTAAGAATTAATAACTGTTGTGTGCTAACCAAAAAAAAAAAAAATGCAACTGGAGAATATATTAAATTAAATGAATTTTAGTTAGACTATAATATGTTAAAGTTTGCAAATTAATCAAAATTGATAAAGGGTGCATTAAGTACATTTTAACATAGATGAGTAAAAGAAATAAAATATGATTTAATATAAGCAGATTACTTAATTTGTATAAATTATAAAAATCTGACATGTTACTTTTCAACAGAAGTGTCTTCCAAATACTTCCCTAAGCAACTAAAAATTATAAAATAAGTGGCTGGGAGCAGTGTAATCCCAGCTCTTTGAGACCAACCCGATGGATATGGACAAACCCCATCTCTACTAAAAATACAAAAAATTAGCCGGATGTGGTGGTGCACACCAGTAATCGCAGCTACTTGGGAGGCTGAAGCAGGAGAATCGCTTGAACTCGGGAGTACATGTGCTCACTTTATAATCATAAGATGATTTTATAATCATAAGAAGAGTATGTATACTCTTTTCATAATCATAAAATGAGTATGTGTATTCATTTTATAATTTTAAGTTGTTTGTGGAAGTATCTGGAAGGAAGTATAATGGATTGAGATGAATTTATGTAATATATGTCATAACCACATTCTTTTCAAAAAACGTGTTAAACAGGTAGGCAAAACATGTGCTCTATCCCAACTGTAGGCTTCACTCTGAGCCTGCTCTGGGGATGCTAGAGTTCTATCATTTTTTAGTCTGTGCACAAGCTCTCACTGAAAGGCTTCACTAAAAATAGTTAACTAAAGTTAAAAGGAATGCAGTTGTATCATCTTTTATAAAAGACCATTGGAGATATGATGATAATTTTAGCATTATTTATTGTCAGCTTTTCATCAATATATGTATTTGTTTGAGACTTATTAGAGTTACAAAAATCCAATGTCAGACTGAACAACTGTAGACTACCTGGGAGGTACAGTTTCTGTGAATTTCATCACAAGTGTTTGTTGTTTTTCAAATTTTTCTAGTGAATTACATTATTCATTTTCTCTCAAGAATCCTTTTCTATTTAGTTAATATCCATTCTGACAGTCCAGATGGGATTCTCAAATAACTTATTCAAACCGAGAAAAGAATCCTAAAGTACAGATACTCATGTCTTCTAAAATGGGGTTATTAGCCTTTTACTTAAGTGTTACCTACCATTTCAATTTCTTTCTTCGCAATACCACATGTGCAAGTTTTACTTTCTGTTATCACGATTTTCTCAAAACTCACTACCTTCTAGAAGTTCTACCAACCAAACAACTCTCAGACACTTGTGACTGACTTCTTTGTCTTTGTATCAAAATTTAATGATGTGGGTATATAGTTTGTGTTCATCTATAAAGGTTCCAATAAAGGTATGAAATATCAAGATATTCTAAATCATAAAACTATTATATGGAAGAGTAATATGTACAAATAAAATACAATAAATCCATATTTTGGTACATTTCAGTTGGTTCTGAAGTTTTCTCCTGGCTTAGGAAAGTGAAATACATTCTTTGTAATGTTTAGTCTCATAAAATTTGCCTAATATATACAGTACAAAAGAATATCTGATTCAAACACAAATTGCAATTGCTAATTTGATTATTGAAGCATATTACTTTCATATTTCTCTTTATATTTACGAAAATACCTACCAGTTGATAAGCTTGAAGCCATCTTGAAGATCTTGGCCTTTTGAAAGTCTTGTTATAAAAAATTGCCCCCCCGAAAATAAGCCAATTAACAAAAAAAAATTAAGAATGTTTTTTCCCTCCTTATTGGTGATGGTATAACATTTTACTGAATATTATCTCTTGAAAATTGGTAAATTGTTAAGTGATTATACAACATTTTCGTTTTCAGAAAAAACTGAGGAATAAATTTGAAAATCTCTCTTCATTATCAAATCGCAATTGTATTTTATTAATCTTTTTTTTTCTTTCTTTTTTATTTTTCCCAAGACAGTCTTTCTCTGTCACCCAGTCTGGAGTGCAGTTGCACAATCTCGGCTCACTGCGACCTCTGCCTCACAGGTTCAAGCAATTCTCCTGCCTCAGCCTCCTGAGTAGCTGGGATTACAGACACCCACAACCATGCCCTGCTAATTTATATATTTTGAGTACAGACGGAGTTTCACCATGTTGGCCAGGCTGGTCTCGAACTCCTGACCTCAGGTGACCCACCAGCCTCAGACTCCCAAAGTGCTGGGATTACAGGCATAAGCCACTGCGTCCAGCCTGTTTTAATCTTAACAAAAGTGCATGCTATGCTGTCATCACATATGTTCTCTAAAAAATTTGCAGAAGCATGTATTATATTGTATTGTCTCAAAGTTATTTTTCATATTCTTAATTTTTCTCCTCATTTTTTCTGTTATCAATTGTAGAAACAGGAGAGATTGTGAAATTTTAAGTGTTTTTTGTATAAATGGTGATAAATGTGAATAAATTCATATGCAATAAGTTTAGAAGTAATAGGTATCTATTACTTCACATCATTCCTCAGGTATATGTTTCCTTTGAGGTTCTCAGCTATTATATTTCTTAAAGAAGAAACAACTTCTTGTTTAAGAATAAATAACTTACTTTTTAGTTTTAAAGTCATCAATTAATTACAATTTTTCATTTTCTCTTATTTTGTCTGATGAACAGAAAATATAATTGTAGTACATCTTGAGATTTTGTTTTTATTTTCTTCATTAAAAGCCCTTTCCTGAGACTATCCAGTATAATATGGCCATTAAGAAGCAAATTCATTCCTAGGTGCTCACAACTTAACAGTTAAACAAATCAATATTCATAAGGACAACTCCATTACTGCTGTCAAGTGATTTTCATTGTTATGAAACTGCATGATCTCAGAACTTTAGAAAACCTCAGAGAACAGAGACCCCCAACTCTCCTGAGAGCCCCAGTATAGCCCATCAACATCAACAATTGGTAGTCACCAAGCTCTGTCAATGACAGGGCCTCACTGAATGGCAGAAGCAAAAAGTCTATGATTCTGCTGACTACCACATAGATGTTTTAACATGCTTTGAAACTGAAGTGCTCTGTTGTGTGGATGCTGCCTTACTAGCAAATATATCTGTAAAAGAAGAAAAAAAATGTTATAGAATTATGCCCAACTTTGCAACTGCTTTCCATCACATTTTCTATCCATAACACAGCAGTGATCTCTCATTCTGTATTCTAACTCAAGAAGCAGCAAGAATATCTGCTTTTCTTAAAAACTTTTGCATTGACTATAACATGAAAGCTCAAAATTCACCATTTACCATTTCATCATTTTGAAAGGAAGTAGCATCAGAGAAAAAAAGGAAATTAGCTGTTCTATTTTACTGGGTTTTCAAAAATGGAGTTTGTTTCTTCGCTACACTCCAGGCATGCATCCTTCTAGTTCTTTCTAAGTTGTCCCTAAGCCTTTGCCTAAGGGTTTTTACTTTCTGTCACTTCCCTAATTTCCATCACTAGTGATTAATTTAAACAGATACACTCAGTTGTTTCTTTACATCTCAGGCACCTAACCATTAATTTTTGCCATCAAGAACCAGAGACAAAGTGGAATGAAATACATTCTTGAGCTCACCTGTGAAGAGTTCCCTCTCCTGTACAGAAGGAAAACAGAATATATCCTGTATTTAAGCATCAGCTAAAACCAACTGTAGTTACAGTTTGCCCTACTCTGCCCATCCCTCAGTTTAGCAATATGTACAGAACATGCATTATGCCTAGAACAAGCTGTGAACACCACCTGGACTGGCAGGCAGACAACTAACTGCAGTGTTTTAGCGCCGTCTGGTGTTAGTGCCTAGAAATGCAGCTGGCATAATTTACCATATTTAGCATGTGACAGGTACTGATCTTTCTGCTGTTTTCAAGGAATTTTCTGTTGTAATCAACAAACACAACTGAATGTAAAAACATATGTATTAATTGTTGAAAGAACGAAAAATCTCACAATAGACTTTTAACCTCTGCATCATTTTATTTCTATTCAATGTTGCTATTATTTCTCTGAGGAAAAGATTTTGAACAAAAACAGTATACAGCATACTCTTTTCAAAAATATACTCATTAAGGAAATATAGAGAGTGCCTTCGATTTATTTAAAATTTCTTTTACATTTCAGGATGTTTAGGGGAATGTTAACATTAAACAGCAAAGAGACTAAAGTAATCAGAATTGCTTCCTTTATTTTTTAAAAGCTTATTTTTCTCTGGTGTAACTTTACAGATAAGAAAATTACTCTCAGAAAATTAGCTTGAAAATAAAAGTAGTTTGATTTGTCTTGCACATGATTTTAAGTGTCTGACTGAGCATTTTTAGACTATTGAAAGAGATCAGAAGAAATAGCCAAAACCAACTTAATCCTAGAAGAACTAGGCAATCTGAACTTACGTAAGAGCAAAGTAAACAACTCACAGAGCAGTGAGGGCCCATTTAGCAAATGAGTTTTTTCAGTGAACTAAGGAATAGTCTTATAAATCCCTAAAGGCAAATCATTTATCCACGCTTCTCATATGCCTTTTGGACCATATCCATGTCAAAATTAAAGTCACGCACATGGAGGAAGATACACATTACAAGGAAACCACTTTCTCTTGAAATGTTACAACATTATGCCCTACTTAATGTAAAAACTGCCCAAGCCAATGTGCTACAGATGAAAAATAATTAAAGGCAGTGGCAATGTCCAGAATCTAATTATTAATGAATTTGAGAAATATGACCAATTTTGATATCCCTAGTTGTTATATCCTATTTCATAAGCACAAAAACTTTTTATCATTACCATGTAAAATAGGCATAATAATAATATACCTACTGCCATGCCAGAGATCATTCTTAACTTCCTCTAGTGAGCAGTTTGAATTTAAATTGAACTTTTTTTGAATTCACAGTTTAGAAAACCAAAGCTCCTTAAATTGAAAAGTAAAATGTCACATTTGTTTAGCTTTTAATCAAGTAAAGCACAAAGAAATGATTACCAATTCTTTATCTATTTAAAAGAATGTAAGCCACGGTTACTTTTAAGAAGTAACCATTTTGTTAAAGTAACGACACCTTATATTAAGTTTCAACTCCAGATGGCACCTGGACATGGGAATGCTAACACATAATCATGACAGAAGGGGGCAAGGCCCTTGGAGCCATGTGCAAGATTCTGTCCTATGTCCTGAGTCCCCACTTGCCCTTGCAACACAATGGCATTTTCCTTCCTGCTTGCTGGTGCCTGCTGACACCCACTTCTGAAGTCAAGAGTTGGTGAATCTAGTGGTCTGATCTTTTAAGTAAGCTCAGAGCCTAATGCTCCCTTCCTGACTCAGCCCACTGTGATCTTGGCCATATTCTCAGTGTGACTTCTGTCTAGGCACTGACTTTCTGTCCTAAAGTCACACTGCTCCTTTCTGCAGAAGCCCAATAACAGGTCTGAAATTTCCAAACTCATCTTCTTTCCCTACCCCACTGGGAATTTCTAAACGCCTTCTGGGCACATGGGAGCTTAGAAAGAACATGCATGGAGGAGAACAACTTCTGCTCTTTTTCTGTCTGAATGTGCTATCCCCACTTCTCAATTAGAATGGCTGTGCTATTGCACACTGTGAAGTGATCTATCCCCAAATTCCCAACTGTGGAACTAAGTATAGCCCTTTAATATCAGCTGCCTGGATTTCTTTCACTCTTCTGTTTTTCCTGTAAAAGATGTCTGCATTCTCTTCCTGAGCGATAGCAACTTCCCATACATCAACATCTCCTACCTCAGAATCATTCACACACACACACATACACACACACACCACCCTATTCTTCTCTAGCACTAAAAATAATGGAAAGTATGTAAGAGGAGGAGTTAGACCACCAAGAAGAGAAAAGCATACAGAGTGAATTAAAAAATGTCTACTTAAGTAAAATATTGCCTTGACATTGCTACTGATATGTGTTAGATAAGACTCTCCAGATAAAGGGATTTATAAGGAACACTTTCCCTTTTCCATTATCTGATTTCTTTTATTGTTTAATTTCTTGTAAATGTATTCAAACTCCCACCTAGAGTTACATACGCATGAGTGGAAACACAAGGCCATTACTTAGTCCCTCTTCAAACAATATTCTCTAAACATTGGTTCAACCTCCTATTTGTGTTGACATACTGAACCTAGCTAGAATCTGTCTAGCTTTTTCTTTGTGTCAAAAATAAAGGACTGATTATTAGTGATAGAACATTGCATTTTTACTTATTTGGAATTCTGTTTTACTTCAAAGTCTTCTTCATTCATTGCCAGATAACATTAGTCACTAGTATTTACCAGGGATCTAGATACTTCACTTGGATATACTAAAAGAGGCATTTTTCACTACGTCAATTTTATAAACTATGCCATATCTCAGGAGGTATATTTAAAGGCTCATATTTAGATGGTAAAGTACAGTGTTCACTTCCATGTTACCGTACTAGCCCCTGCATTATTTCAGTTTAGAAGGAAACAGGTAATAACAAGAAATGTCAAACTTCAAGAGGCTTCAGTTGGCTGATCTCATCGTCAAATATAAGGTCTAAGTTGCCCAGTATGGGATGCACCTCTACCTCCAACAAAAATCAACAAGACATGCATTAAGAGAAACAAGACATGATGTCCTATTTTGTGCTCAGATGTATAGCCTATGTTGCTAGAAGCAGGGTCATTTTACTTTTCCTCAGTTACCTAAGGCCGTAAGTGAAAGTCTGGCTTAACTGGCACTATATTTTTGTCAAGTTTAGTGTCTTGTATAAACTGGCTCTCTATAGTCCTTGGACCGGCAGTCTTTAAATGGGGCTCTACCATGGTAACTGGATTACCTTTTGTCTACTAAGTAGTTTCTCTGGCTGTAGTCCAATTCCCCTCCACTATATACTCAAACAAATTCCAGAGTGATTTCTCTACAGTAAAAATATGGTCATGACAGATCAAATTCCTTTAGCTTTCAAAATAGAAATAAAACTCTCATATTGGTTCATAAGGGTCTTCATTTCCATGTCTTCATTTTCAATTACACTCGAATTTGGTCATCGTTCTCATCCTTGCTATTCAAAGTCCCTGGAACAGCAGAATTTAGTGATTCATGTGGCTCTCTGAACTAGAATCTACATTTTAACAAATCTTTATGTCATTCTTAGGCACATTAAAGTCTGAAAAGCAGTGGTATATAAAATATTAATATGTTAACTATTTGCATGTATTTCATACCTATAAAAAACTCAAAGAGTACTCTTTTAAAAATGGTTCATTTATTGGCAGTAAAATTCATATATGTCTATATATTTTTCTTTGTCCATAAAATCTCAAAATATTAGCAAGACATTGGTCATGAAACTAAACTTCATTAACCTATCATATTTTATAAAGGAATTTGAGATGTATATTCCCAAGGGGTGCCAGAACTGCAGTCAGGTTTGCAGTTTAGGAGGGGCAGTATCAAGGGCTCTGGTTCCCAGCTTATTGAAAAACCCTTCTAAAAGCAAATTCCTACTGTTCCTAAACCAATCAGGGATTGGTAGGAAAGGCTCTGAGGAGGATATGAACATTCCTCTAATATATGCAAGGCCACATTAGTCTCAAACCTGAAAACAGAATCTACATTTGCCAAAATTATTTTACTTCTGCCTATTTCCAAAAATTAATTGAGTAAAGCCATTTTTTATTATTATCTTAATATTTTACTTGTCCAGTTTTTTGGGATAATTTTTGATATTTATGTTCTTTAATTTAAAACAAATCTGTATATTAGGACCAGTTTATTTTAGCTCATGGTACTTTTGTGGTTGAAAGATAAATAATGTCACTAGATGGAATGGCCTGGCTGCGAGTTGTCCAGGTTCTTGGCTTGTGGAACAAATAATTGAACAACATGAACAAATAAAGCAACAAAAGAATGAAGCAAAGAAAGCACAGATTTATTTATCACCCTCTACCAAGTGGGAGTGGGCTACAGCAAGCAGCTGAAGCACCCTGATTTTGCACTGTTCTTTAGGGTTTTTATTAGACTAAAAGAATTTGGTGACACCCCTGGGTACCTTTTAGAGGCCAACAATTGGTCAGACCCTATGCAAATAAAGGCTTAGTCCATGACCAATTAGAGACTGAAGTGAAGGCTTGGCTCAGACCAATCAGAGGCATTTCCTGTTTGTGACATAGGGGTGAAAGAGTTTTGTAGAGGGAAGGACCTCTGACCCCTTGTCACTTGGGCATGGAGAGGTGGGGTTTTCCTCTCAGTCCAATTCCAAGAAGTCAGCTTCAGGTTGGCCTTAGGCTCCCTGTCTTTAGACCCTATTCTCCTGCCTGAATAATATCCTAGAAACCTCAAAAAATAGTTTGATAAGTGAGTAATATAAAAATAAAGGCCAGTGCATATGCCTAACTTGTTATAATTTGTTATTTATGAAATCATTAAACTGCATATTATAAAAATGTCCAGCCTTTAAAATTGGCTAGGAAGAATATTGATTTTGCTTGCACTTTTCTTAATATTTTTATTTTATAAATTTCTATTACTAAACTCAACACAAAAAGAATGAAAATCAGATGTTTTACTACATATTTTCCTACATAGTATGTTTTGAAATCTCAAAAATCAAATAAAATCCCATTCTCTTGTGTTCTTTTCCTTTCAATTTATGATCATATATAAACAGGGCTAAAAAATTACTGTTTTATAACTTCTAAACATTTATTCACTAAATAAGCTAGAGAGTAAATAAAATGTCATAAGAAATCTTTACACATTAGGAAATTGCTTCAATACTTTAGAAGTGCTTGGAACATGGTATTCTCTCAAGAAAGCATGAAAAAAGGGATTTTAATAGAAATTTAACAGATAAAATATTTGTATTAATCATGTTAGCATATATCATCTGATAAAGTAGGGTTGTAGACATACATTTTTACTATTAAAATGTATTTTAAGTCTAGGTGTGGTGGCTCATGCCTGTAATCCCAGCATTTTGGAAGATCAAGGCAGGCGGATCTCTTGAGCTCAGGTGTATGAGAACACCCTGTGCAACATGTCAAAACCACATCTCTACCAAAAATACAAAAATTAGCCCAGGATGGTGCTTTGTGGTACGTGCCTGTAGTCCCAGCTACACAGGAGGCTGAGGTGGAAGGATCATTACTTTAGCCTGGGAGGCAGAAGTGGAGGTTGCAGTGAGCTAAAATTGTAAAACTGCATCTGCCCTGTCTCAAAAAAAAAGTATTTTTAATGTTTTATCTTCTTTTTAAATAACTTATTTATCTCTTAAATGGATTTGAAACCATTTATATAAATAATTATTAATGCCTTAGATAAATTTATATCACGATCTTCCCTAAAGCTTAGTAATTTTGATTTATTCCTTGTTTAGTATAAATACCTCTTCTGTTAATATCTTTTAGTAATTCTTTTGAACTAAAAGGCATTAGCAGACATTCAGAACTAAGAAAATGAATACCATGAACATACTCTCACCAAAAAAATTGAAAATAAATGAGATTAGTTTGGCTAAGTATTAATAGAAACCTCTTTAGCCATCTGAGGTTTACTTTTGTGGAATAAGACTGAGACAAGCTAAGTTTTATTATTTTTATAATAAATAATTTTGCATTATCTTTTTTCCTGCTCAAATACCCTCCTGCTTAATTGGAGGTTCCCAAACTTGCTTGGTTCATGGCACCCTTAAATAATTTAATATCGCTTACTAACCACCCTCAAGCTATTCATAACCACAATTACATAATAATGAAGTATGTGTGCCTACTGATCACAAATGTAACTGTAACTTCTCAAACCCTGAAATCATATTGGACACGTCCAGTGTCATTTCTTATTACACATTGATTTTCATATAGTATGTGCTTTTTATCAAAACATCCATCCCCACCAAAAATCCAGTTTCACAAAAATGTGACGTCATAAAAAGAAATGAATTACAATCCGAAATTCAAATTATGAACTACCTTAAGCTAGTAAATTACACATATAAAAAAGATGTCCTATATTCTTCTGTTTCTCTCAAAAACTGAAAATATCCCATTGTGCCAGTTTATGGCAATACCCCCAGACATCTTGGCACATAGTTTAGGAATCACAAGATTTTTTTTTCTTAATCTTGAAATTGTATAATACCATCAGACTACATGAAAGTATTGGTCTCATAATTAAATATGTTTGTTTATAAGGATCCATTTTTATTTGTAGTATTTTCAGTTTAAATGAATCCTTTAAATTCTTTATAATTTTTATTATGTTTTTCCTATCAAAAAAATATACCGAACACCTATATGTTGAATCCCTATTCTCTGTCTCCTGAGTCTTACACTTCCCTGCTCCCTTCTGTTGATTGGTTTTTATTTTTCTCCACCTTCTGAAAAAGATTCTGAAGTTATAATTCTTCCATATCAGTCTTTTTTTTTTTTTTTTAAATGGAGTCTTGCTCTGTCACCAGGCTGGACAGCAGTCTTTTAACTTTCTTGAGTTTCAGTTCGGCCTATCACTGCTTGAGGTGTGTATATTTCATATAATACAGTCTGCTATGGCTGTATTATATGAAAATGTTGGGGGCTTAAACAACCGAAGTTTATTTTCTCACAGTTCTGGAGGCTGAAGTCCAAGATCAAACTGCTGGCAGGTTTGGTTTCTGGGGCAGCCTCTCTCCTGGGCTTACAGACACCATCTCTTCCCTGTGTCATCCCATGGCCTCTCCTCTGTGTGTGCTCACTCCTGGTATCTCTTCTTATTCTTACAAGGACACTAGTCCTTTGGATTAAGATCCACCCTATGACCTCATTCAAGGAGGCCTTTATTACCTCCTTCAAGGGACTATCCCCAAGTACAGTTGCATTTGAGGTTAGAGCCTCAACATACGAACTTTAGGGGCACATAATTCAGTGCATAACAAGGTGTATACATAAACTCTTAAGTGTTTTAATTTAAACACACATCTTTTTCACTTCTCACTTCTGTTAATTTTAGATATGCCTTTTAGCTCCTCTTTCATTTTTTTGTTTTATCTATTTCTCATTCCATATAGTTTATGTTTTTCTGACTTTAGCTGATAGAGAAAAAGGGCACCTCCTAAATTGTACTGCTAAAATGTTTTATACAGGAAGGATATCCTTTTATAAAGGATATCCTTTCTCTGCTATAATCTTTATCTTTCGTGTTGCAGAATGTCTCCATCAGACCCACTTTGTTGGTTTTCCTGCTGCTCTTGTCTGTTATCTTTCTGTAAGTAGAAAACCACTATGATACCATTTCTAGTTTTTGTTTATAAACAAAATTAAAGTTCTGTGAATTATCCATGGCTCTCTTCACTGTACACCTGCTTGCTTTCAGAGTCCTCTTTCTTTGGGTGGAAGCCTCATTGATGTGCACTGACTGACTCTAATGAATCTTTCAGCACTTTGCAATCTTATTGAATGTGAAACTGCAGGCGTGAGAAGGGATCTAGTAGTTTCCATTATCTGGTCATCTGATTAAAATAATTGGAGTTTATTTCTGAAGTTAAAAATAGTCCACTTATCTTTCCTTCTAAAAAAGTATGTATGGAAGAAAAAAAACCCAGAATGCACCACCTTTGTGAGATTTTTAGGGCTAGCCCTTTATATCTACTGATTTTTTTTTTGAGACTCTTTTTCTTCTTTGATTCTCTCTCCATCGCCCAAGTGGAGTGCAGTGGCAGAATCTCAGCTTACTGCAACCTCTGCCTTCCAGGTTCAAGTGATTCTCCTGCCGCAGCTTCCCGAGTAGCTGGGACTATAGGTGCACACTACCATGCCCAGCTAATTTTTTATTTTTAATAGAGACAGGGTTTCAACATGTTGGCCAGGATGGTCTCCATCTCTTGATCTCATGATTCCCCTACTCAGCCTCTCAAAGTACTGGAATTACAGGCATGAGCCACCACGCCTGGTCTCTACTGATTTTATATTGGATGTAAAGTACTTTCTTCTAAGTACTTCTGTCAATAGCTACCTTCTGTCAATGGAATCTCAAGTTCCCAAATCTGTCCATCAAATAGGTATTAATGGAGGAATAAGGATCATAAATACCTATGGCTGGCTGCTTAGGAGAAGAGATTCCTCTCGCTCAGGAATATAAAATCTGTGTCTGTAGTCTAGGTGAGCAATAGACATAGATGTTTGGATGACCTTGGAATTTGCTAGTGGTTTCAAATCCACAGACTTTAAGATTGATCATGTAATTATACTCTCTGTTTAATAGGAAAAAGATGAATATTTAATTGTCCCTATGTCAGTAAAAAGTCATTAACCTACAAGTGCTCCCAGCCTTCCTTTGACTTACCTTCATAAAGGATCTTCTAAGTTGTCCCATTTGGGTCTCTTTTCTACTCCCTCTGCTTTATGGAGGACCTTTCTTATTAGACCTGATGTTCTGGCTTTTGTGAGGAAGAATTGGAGGAAGGCAAGAGAGTATGAAGAAAATGTAAGATACACAAAGGTTACAGAAAAATTGTGATGTGGAGAATGATAAGCATGGGAGCAGCTTTGGGGTGAGTCAGGTGGACAGAAAAGGAAATTCAGGGGGGTTTTAAGCCCTATTGAGTTCCCATTATTATATGATTTTGAAATCACTCCTGCTTGCCAGGACGTTTCCTTTTTAACAGTGGGGTTGAGTTGCCCAGGTCAGCATTTCAAAGTGTTATATTTGATGGTGGTAATAGGAGTTAAAGCCAAGGTTTGAAGCCAAGATTTAAAGCCAAGCTGTCAAACCAAGCTGAATTTCACATTTAAATCACCACCTTCAATCTGAGCTGCTTATGTGTTTGCACCAAGCCTTCTTAAATTCTGAAGAAAGGAAGAAAGGAAAAATCTGAGCCCAGCATGAGCAGGGATGGTTTGGGGCCACCACCAGAAAATAAAAGGGAGTGTGTAGAGACCACACTAAAGTTGGAATTTTGACTTAG